TAACTCCTGAAAAAGCCCAAAGGGAGCCTACTATCTGGGGTGGGCCGTCAGGGGCTTGCAGGGCCATACGCACAGGGAGGGCGGAAGTTCAGCACCGTCAGGGAGGGGCCTGACCACTGCGGAGAGCCCTCCTTGCCACTGCAGTAGAACTTCCTTTGAGAAGCTGCTTGGCAGCTGGTTTAACCAACCGACATTGAAAACCACCCATTTCACTTTGGGGGAGGAGACTCCAGTAAGTTTGAAAGCAGTGATAGGGGAGGTGGAAGCCATCTGCAACTGGAACTGCTCTCTTATCTCCTCTGGCTTTATCTTTTTGTTGCAGGGTTAACTGTAGCTTCAGTGTGTGCAACAACAGTAGTGTAGCAAATTGTGGAGGCTGGCTTTCGGCACAGCAGGCAGCTGGAGGGTGCTATTTTTCTGACAGGGAGATGTTCTGAAGTTTCGTAATTTATTGTGTGTTTAAATATGGGATTTTGTTTACTGCTGTCCTAATTACACCTCTGATATTTTATTTCGCTTAATGCTTTAATTTTGTGCTCATGCCCAGAGATAGTTTCCCAAAGGATACCATTTAAAAACTTTAGGTAGTGTTTCATCCTTGCTGCAGCTACCTACGGCTTCTGGAAGGCAAGAAAATGGGTTTTGGGGGTTGCCAATGTGCTCACGGCTCTTAGGAATTTTTTGATGACAGTGTGTACAGTGTGGGGTCTTGATCTCCTGTCTGCCAAGTATTGTCTTAAACCTTCTTTGTCTAATAGAAATATACTACCAGCCACATAGGCGATTTTAAATGCTCTAGTAGTCACATTAATGAAACAGAGAGAAATATGTGAAATTAATTTCTAAGAAGTCTTTGCAAATTACTAGGTATTTTATAGAGTGTCTCGCCTTGGACTAGCCACACTTCCAGGAATCAATAGTCACGTGTTGCCAGTGGCGGGACAATTGACGGGAATGGTCTAAACCTTTCGAAGATCTACACAGGACACAGGGAAGAGTCTTTGCAGGGAGGAGGAGAGACATACTCTCTTGATCTATGAGCGCCCTTTCAAAGCCACACATAGGTTTCCTCCTCTTAGAAAAACCCGATATGTAAAAATTCTTCCTGACAGGAAAGGTAAAGCAGGAAGTGATTATTCATGTTACAAAAGAATTAACCACAGGTTCCTTTAAATAGCAAACTCCCTTAGTGCGCTGAAGAATCTGACTCAATTTGCTAAAATATGATTGATAGTTGGCAAGTTAACAGCGTCTCTGTTGAGAACTCTCTGCCTTTATCTGAGCTCTACTGAGCTCTACTGAGCACCTGCTTGTGTCAGGAAGGCTCACAGGGGCCACTGGGGTGATCCTGAGCCAGCAGGCGTTGAGAGGCACACGGGGAGGATGCAACTCATACGCAGCTGCCCCAGGGAGGGACTTTTTGGTTCCAGGAGCAGCGAGGCCTGGTGGCTGGAGGAGCCTGGAAGGTGGCACTGAGTGACCGGGGCCCAGCTGGGGCTAGAAGGCAGGCAGGAGGCTTGGGCTTACTTACGTGTGTGTGAGATTAAAGAAAGGGAAACCAAGAAGGATGGCTTAGTGGGAAATTGGCAAGACTTGACCAGGATGGAGTTATGTTTTTTATGTCTGAGTCCTCATTGCCTAACCCAGTCCTACCCCAGTTCGAAGTCATCATAACGAATGCAAGTGAAGCAAAACCAGGAAGAGCTTCTCTTTAGTTGTGACAACAGGCAGGCTACTCATCACTTCCTAGTCATCATCTTCTTGGAGCTGACTCCTTTGTTCTCTGCCAGCTGTACCTTGGCAGCTGCACACACAACAGGAGACTAACTACTTAGGAAGGAAGAAGCAAGATGGTGTCCGATACTGGGTCCCCAGAAGTGTGCAGGGTTTCTGTTGGCGTTGAGATGCACCTGTGACAGCTTCCCAGCCCCCCTGTCCCCAAGCATGGCCCACGACCTGGCTCTCCCCCTGCCCCACTTAGCACATTTCCCTGCTCCCACTGTAAAAACTGTGTTTTCATCTCTGAGTGCTTATGGCATCAACCTAGCTCAGTGTTTTGATCCTTTTCTTGTTAAAAAAAATAGCTAATATTAGAAAATAATTCTGCCTATCCACCCATGTTGTTATAGATGAAGTGTCTTTATTACTGTATTAGTGGGTTGAGAAAATCCCAGAGAAGCCTCTAAGCATTTATTGGTTACTATGTAGTAAACCTCTGGCATTGTAAGACTAGACATGAGGGGGAAATGGAGACATTTGTCTTCGTGGGTTTTAAATGTCTTGCTGATCCCAATCGTGCCATCCTATAACTAGGTAATTTATAAACATATCAAAGGTGGAGAAAGAGCCATATTATAAACTGTCTTGATAATTTTGAGTTTTTGGTTATCACCTGTGAGACTGGATTGCCTCCTCCCTCTGTTTGCGTCCCAGTATGGCTGGGAGAGAGCTTCCGCCTGAAGCGGAAGTGGCAGTCATTTCTGCCATTTTCTTGTTTCCTTGACCCCATGTTAAGTATCATCTACAAGCCTGATTTTCTTTACATAAGCCTTTTCAAACCTCTCATCCATCTAGTGAGGGTGACTTCACTTAAAAGGGGAACAACCCTAAGGAGACGTTACCAGGAGGCCTCACAGATCTGTGAGGCCCCCGGAGCGCTGAGAGCTGGCGCTGGCGGCCATTAGGGCAGGAGGATTGCTTCCCTCAGGCTGCCGCTTGCCTTCCGAGCATCAGCTGTCTGACGCAGAGCTGAGATGAGGCACCAGTGACATCTGCAAATGCTATATTTTTCACTTTAAAAAATGAAAATACGGTGAATAGATATTTAATTTTCTCCCCATCACTTCAGCTACTCCCTGAGGTGAGAGTATCGCACTTGGGAGGGCATTGGCTCAGAAAATAAGCTTAACCACTTTGTTCATCTTTAGGTTGTTGAATTGGGAAGTTGGGCATCATCATATTATGAGGATTAAATGAGATAATGCAGGAAAAGTGTCCAGCACATAAGCAGTAGTTACTGTAATCTCAGTTCTTACCACAAAGCTTCGTTAGATCCCTGTCTAGGTAATTGGAAGAAAGCTGTCTTCTAATCGACCTGGTTCTCATGGTTGTGATAGTTCAAGATAACTACTGCGTGATACAAGAAATTGAAGTGTTTCTGCCTTCATCTTGTCATGAACCAGAAATCTGCAAAAGGGTGTCTTGTTTGTGTGGTATGTGCCTCCCTTCAGTTGGCTAAGTGATGAGAGTAGTTCACAACTCACCCTCACCCTGGGCAGATTTAGCACCACAGAGTCAGCCAGCTAATTTGGGAATGAACGAATAATCTAGGAAAGAAAATCCGACTTTGAGTTGCTGATGTATCGCCTGGCGTGGCAGACAGGACGAGTGGACCATGAGGATACCAGCCTCGATGGGTTGGCCCTTCTGAGCTGGCAGCACCTTGGGAGATTGTCTGTAACTGGACAGCAGGCAGACCCCTCTGGTGGTGGCCCCATTCACCTGACAACCTTCTTTGACTTCTGGCAAAGCGATCCCGGTTTATTGAATTTAAAAAATCATCTGTGCTTCTTTTGGTCTCCTATTTAAGAAAGCGTTGCCAAACTGAAGATCACTAAGACTTTTTCCCCATGCTTTTTTTTTTTTAAAGGTTTTTTCTCTTACATATAAGTCTGTGATCCATTTTGAGTTCAGTTTTGCATACACATTCCTTATAGAGCTCATTTAATGTTTCCTTTTCCACTGTTTTACCATAATTTCCAAGTTGCTAACTTGCCACTCTAGTAATTTTTACTACCTTTGTATCCATTCATTTGCCATCCATGTGTTCAATGTACTAAACTACAAGTAAAAATGGAAAAGGGCAAGAAACTGACTGGCTGAGGTGATATGCAGTGGGCCCCAAAATCTGGATGTATCCTGCATGCTTCCAGCAGCTTCTAGCAGTCTCTGCATTGGGTGCCTCTGCTAGTTTGTATCAGCCCTTTGTCCACAGGAATGCCGTCTGCCTCATTTGTTGCGTCCACCTCTTACCAACATAGAAGCTTCCCATGGCCAGGGTACACAGTTGAAAATGGCACTGCTGCCTAAGAAGCCGTGTGCCGTGCGGGCAGCTGTACCTGCAGACACCAGCAGCCCGAGCCATGCCTTGGCCAGGAAGCCTCTGTTCAACTGTCTTTACAGCCGTCGTTGCTGAGGGGGAGGCATGATTTCCGCAGGATGCCATCGTTACCGCCCGCATTTTGTGCCACCGAGGCTGAGGGCAGTTAGTTAGCAGCACACAGGCAGTCTGGACAAGGGGCCAGGCACCCAGGAGCCAAACCCGCATGTGGACTCTGCCATCTCTGTACTGGGGGAAATGAGGCCGGATTCTCCCTGGGCGGAGAGCCCATGCTCTCCTTCTGCCACTGTGTGGGTTCCCTCTGAAGCTCTGCTCTGGGAGGCTCATCAGTCACTGCTGCGCCTGGCCACTGACCGGCGTCTCACGGTCACAGTGCTGCTGACCTCAACCCAGATGGGGCTGCCGGGCGTGGTGCTGTTATGTTAGTGTTGCTGGTGGGGAAACCCCTTTCACATGGCTTGACTGACCTTCCAAATCTGCCCAGCCTCGAGCTTCCCCCACATCTGAGCTGGAGTGCTCCTTTTCATGGACCTTGATGGGGTTGGGCTGAGTGAACCGAGTCAGAAGGCAGAATTCAAACATTGGTTCATTTCACTCATTCGTGGAATATAAAGAAAAAGAGCAGTCAAGCCAACCAAACCAAACCAAAAAGAAACCCCTAGACTCTGACAACAGAATGGTGGTTACCAGAGGGGAAGGAGGGAAAAAGGAAGAGCTAGTGGTGGAGGGTGACAGGACATTGGGTGGTAAACGTGGTGTGACACACACGGTGGCTGAGGTGACTAATTACCCCTGAAACCGACAGTGTTGTAAACTGATGCCACCTGGATACAAAGAAGACTCAGTGAAGTGTTCTCCTTTTCGTCCCTGTTCGTTCCAGTGGAGGCCATAGTGGAGTTTGACTACCAGGCCCAGCACGACGATGAGCTGACGATCAGCGTGGGTGAGATCATCACCAACATCAGGAAGGAAGATGGAGGCTGGTGGGAGGGACAGATCAACGGCAGGAGAGGTTTGTTCCCTGACAACTTTGTAAGAGTGAGTACAAAGCGAAACCCTTTTCCTGTGTCCTGTGTGTTCTACTAACCAAAGTGTGGGGGCCCTTGAGGAGTGCCTTCCTGGGACTCCTTGAAGGGATGAGTTGACCACTGGTGTGCTCTCAAGAAGAACATGGAGAGCCTTACCTGTTTGGGGAATACCTGTTTTGAAATCACTTTCTTAAGATACAAACTATGGATTGCTTAGAAAATGCTGGAAAAATGTAAAGCTTGTTAAATTGTATTATTTCAGCACTTATTTATTTGCTTTGAAAGTTTAAAAGAATGTTACCCATTTCCATTCCTTTCAAAATGGGGGTGAAACTCAATTTTGACCCTTTCAGTCTAGTACCAAATGAATTAAATGCAGAATTCCAATTTAGCTGTTTTCCACCTTTGTAATCATATTTTTTTTTGATAGGAGCAATATTATTTTTCTTTCCTCTGGTATGGCCAGCAGCATTGATTAAAATCTATTCTTTTCAGTATGGTTTTGAAAATTATGTCCTTTGCAGAGGTCATCTGGGGATAAATTACAAAAATCCAGTATGTTCATATTAAGAAATTGCATTACCACATAGTTGTAAATAATAGTTGGAATTGGGTGTAAAAGGGTCACCTAGAGGTACTTCCCCATGGGAAATACCATATAGATCTAAAACGTTCCTGTACCCTGAACTTCCTGTTTGATTCTGGAGAGGACTAGATTGTTCTCTGTGGGAAGGGCTGGGTGCAGAGATCCCCAGGGCTCCTGCTGTAGTTTCCATGGCATCAGTCCCTTAGACCTGTGGTTTCGGGGAGTAGGAGGCATGGGGGCTGCTGGGTCTGGAGAAGCAGGTGTCCCCCTCAGATTGCCTCAGGGGCTCCATGGGAAGGTGTTATGAAAAGGTGCTGGTCACGAAAACCAGTGCTGTGCTCCCAGCTTCCAGGCCCTGGCCCTCTCCCACGCCTCTCGGTCTAGACAAATAGGAACCCAGTCTAATCTCTCTTCAGAATCTTGCCTCAATCCTGAGAACAGTTCTTTTTTTTCTTTCTTTCTGGTGTGCATAAAGCTGCTGAGAGTTTTGTTGGTAACATGCTGATAAGCATTGTTTTCTGTAAATGGCTGTGGGAGTAGAGACTTTATTTTCTTGGATTACAGTTGTACCTAGCAGCTCTCCTCCTTTTTAAGAGCTGGAAAGGATTATGTGTGGGCCACCAGGGATTGACTGTTGATATGTAAATGGGGGTTCATTCGTTTGTTAGTTCAAACAAAACCTGCAGATTTTGGACAAGGACCATTTTGGAATATGAGCCAAATTCTGGTGTGCAAGGAGAATTTTTCCAGATAAATAGGGGGAAGCTTGGAGTGAAGATGAGGCAGAAGGTGTGCCTTGGGAAGTGCAGAGGCTCGTAGGGAGGAGGGGAAGGCTGTAGGAAAGAGAAAAACTGCAAAATTGGGGAACACCTGGAGAAGGAGAAGGGACTATGGTATCTGTTTCATTTCGAGGGTAGGCCCTGTTTTATGATCCTTTAATGCAGCCTGTTTGCTCACTACAAGCTGCCAATCCACAGACTCAGGGAGCTTGTGAGTTGGATTTTGCTCAGGACTATGGATGGCTGCCCTGTGGTGTTTCTAGAGTGGTGTGCAGTAGGGCAGGGAAGTGCAGGGTAGGGAGATCTCAGGCAGGCTTGGAATCAGCCTTCTACCTTCCTCACTCAGGGAGTATTAAGGGACAGAGAAACTCCTCACTGTGAAAGGGGTATTGTGGACCTGCCCAAAGAAGGGGGCCTCTCTTCCCCCTTTTCCCCCTGCTCTGTCTGTGGGCTGAGTAGTGAGCTCCTGCCCCATGACTTCCTGTGGGCTTTGGCTCAGGAGCATGCTAGCAGGATGTGACAGTGGGAGCAGAGATGATCCCACAAGCTCTCTGCCTGCAGTTGCCTCAGCCTGGCTCTGTCCATCAGCCCGACAGTGTGTGGTCCCCTCAAGTCTTCCACACGCCTTCTGCCTCGAGTCTTCAGGCCTGGGCCCTCTGTGACTCTAGCTCTGGGCCCTGCCTCAGAGTTTCTCTGTGTCTCATACTTTGCAGACGTCTGTTAATCCCACCTAGGATTGCCCTAATTTAAGTGTGCCATCTGTTTCCTTTTGAGAGTGTGACTACCTCATCAGACCATTCTGAGGATTAAAGGAGACTGCGTGCAGTCACTTAGCATGACGTGGGCCGCCTACTGAGTGCGCTGCCGTCCTCGTTACCAGTGAGGAAGGGGCCTCTCCCCTGGCCCCAGCGCCCTTGCTCTTGCCTACACTCCCGTTGCCTCACCTGGGTTAGAACACTTCCAGTCAGGGAAGCTATGTTCCTGGGAGGCGCTATTCCAGCCAGGCCAGAAAGGGTGTGACAGGAGTGGCTGGACTGCACCACCTGAGGCTGTCACATCGGGCAGAAAAAGAAACGTCTGTACTTTCAGATGGCTGAATCTATTTTCAATTCATCACCCACTAGGAATGTTTTAGGCCTATTATTGAAAATCCAGTAGGTGGATGCAATGGAGTTGAACAATAATGAAAACTGCCATCGAGAGTTCTAGAAGCTGAAAATACATCTTGAAGTAATAATACTCACATTGGCATAAGTTTGCAGTTTTGAAAGTGGGTTTACTATTTAGCCATATTTAGCTGAAGGATAATTGGTCCCCAGTTTGAGTCGGGTAATTTGTGGAAGCCCACTGTTTATTTGCTTGCCTTTGTGCCAATGCTGTACTGTCAGCGAGCTTATCTTAAGCATTTTCTTGACTCTTTTATCAGATTCCTTTGAGCATAATGGCCCATAGTGTTGGGTTTCACTATTTTCTCTTAACTTTGTATTGTCTCAGTTTCTCAAGAGAAAACACCAGCCAGCCCCTGGCCACACCGGTGTCAAACAAAAGCCTGGATTTTGCTAGCTACTGGGCTGAGATTTATTAACACACATAAAGTGTCCCCAAGTAGGCCTCATGACCTTAGGGTCTATCCCTCTTTTTCTTTTATTTAGATAATTCATATTTAATTTATTTACTATATAGAGAGAGGAGGGATTTTTTTCTTTAAAAACAAAAAAGATTTATTCACACATGCATACAAGAGCAGGGGTGTAGGCCAGAGGTACGAAGGGGGGGTCAGAGGATTTACCAGGGACAGAGTGGGGAGCATAGCAGGTGGATATCCTGAGATACTGCCAACGGGAGTAGTGGTCGACATAGAGGTCTGCCACACCATGTGGGTCACCGCCTGGCCGGGGACTGAGCCTGTGCTGCAGTGACTTTATAGTGCTGACACTTAACCCCTTAGGCCTCAAGGGGGACCCTTGCAGACGAATCTTCTAAGAACCTCCTTTCCTATCTCTCTTCCTACTTATTTCTTTTGAAATTCATTTTTTTTACCCTTCTTCTTAAAAACAAATAGGCAATTTTTGAATAATATTTACATGGAATAAAATGTTGAAGTCCTAAATATCTAACATGCTGATTTTCTTATGCAAGTGTGCACCCTTGTAACTATCATCCTCATCAGTCCTATTTTTATCCCTTTAGAAAGTTCTATCATGCATTCCCCCCATCATTTCCTTTCCCTTGGGTAATCTATCATCACAGATTAATTTTACTTGTACTTGAATTTCATATAATTAGAATCATGTAGCCTGTGCTTTAATATGTGGTTTCTTTCATATAACAACATGTTGCACACATGAGAACTTTATTTTTGCTACATAGTATCTGATATTTGAATAGGCCATAATTTGTTTATCCATTCTCCTAATGATTAACATTGGGTCATTTCCAGTTTTGGTTTTTTTTTTAAAGATTTATTTATTTGTGCATACAGAACTGGGGTGCAGGCCAGAGGCGCAGGGGCGGTGAGAGGCTTCACCAGAGACAGAGTGGGGAGCAGAACAGGCAGATCAACGAAGTACACTGCTGAGGGGAGCAGCGGGAGGGAGGGTCAGGAGAGGTCTGCCACGCCATGTGGTCACCTCCGGGGCAGGTGGGAATCGAACTCATGTGGAAGCGGCTTTAGATTCTCAGTGCTGTGCTTTAACCCGCTGCGCCACCAGGGAGGGCCACCAGTTTTGGTATTGTATGAATAAGGACTGAAAATTCTTATGCAAGTCTTATGGACACAGCAGCTCATTTCTCTCATGTATGTTCATGTATGAGCGGAATTGCAGCTCTCACTGTCCCTGTAAATGTTGTTCTCTGTTAAAAGCTGTGGTATCCATGGAGGGGGGAGATGTTACACCTCTGGGAGCTGCATCTAGTTGACTGCACCAGAACCTGGCAGTCTGTGTGTGACTGTCCTGTGAGTATACAGCCGAGCAGTCCTGAAGCACAGAACTCTGTCTCCAGGGACCCTTTGATTGATGGGCCCATGAACTGTCAAAGGCTAATTCATAAATGGTTAAAAATAGAAGTAGAGACCATGTTTCAAAATATGATTGAACTCACTTAATGAGGGAAATGGATTTAAAAATCAGTGGGAAAAGGAATGTTCCAATAAGATTAAGTTAGGTACATGAAGAGTATCATGATTTAGAGGGCAATGAAATCTTAACCTGTCGGACTGTCATCTCTACCAGGAAAGAAAAAAAAGAAAGCAGCATATGTTGTTGCTTTTCTTTATGACTTGCACGGGGCTGTAAAATATCCTAATCACGTGTTAGTTAAATCAAGGTACATTTTTAGAGAGAACCAGATGGCCCTATGTGGGGGATGCTTATTAGAAAATGCATCAACATGGCATTAACAGGTCACACAATCATCTTATTTTGCCAGATTTCTGAGGTTTGGATATTTTTCTAGACAGACCATAAAGTGGGGTACAGTAAGAGGATGAAATTCTAAAAGTTACTTGTTTAAAAACTATGGCTGCCCTTCTGGGGTTTCCAGCTGCTGTGTAAAGCAGAAAAACAGCCACCTGGCTGGGTCAGATTGTGGTTCCATTCCTAGGGTTCATTTTTCCATGTTGTTTTTAATGACCAGTTCCTGCCT